GTTTGAATCGTGTAGGTCCACTTACATGTGGATTTTTCTTCTGCCTCTGCCACTCCTGAGACAGCAAGACCAACCCCTCCTCTTCCTCCTCCTCCTCCTCAGCCTGCTCAACATGAAGATGACGAGAGTGAAGACCTTTAGGATGATCCGCTTCCACTTAATGAATAGTTAATATATTTTCTCTTTCTTATGATTTTCTTAACAACATTTTCTTCTCTAGCTTACTTTATTGTAAGAATATAGTATATAATGCATGTAACATACAAAATATGTGTTAATTGACTGTTTATGTTATCGGTAAGGCTTCTAATCAACAGTCGGCTACTAGTAGTTAAGTTTTGGGGGAGTCAAAAGTTACGTGTGTATTTTTGACTGTGGGTTTGGCACCCCTAACCCCCACCCAAGGGTCAACTGTATCTCTGGGTATGTCTGGGAGGGTGTTTCTGGAAGAGATCAACATTATAATCAGTGAACTGAGTAAGAAAGTTCCACCCTCATCCAATGAGGGCAGACACTGTGCAATCAGCTGAGGATTTGGATAGAACAAAAAAGCAAAGGAAAAGCAAATTTTCTCTCGCTCTCTACTGGGGCTTGTACATCCATCTTCTTCTACCCTTGGACATCAGGACTCCAGGTTCTGCAGCCTTTGGACTCTGAGATTTGCATCAATGGCCCCCCTGGTTCTCAGGCCATCAGCCTTGGACCAAGCCATGCTAGTGGCTCCCCTGGGTCTCTGCCTTGCAGATGGCACCTCATGGGACTTCTCAGCCTTCACGATCACGTGAGCCAATTCCCCTAATAAGCCACCTCTTATATATCTGTCTATATCTGTATTTATATCCATATCCTACTGGTTCTGTTTCTCTGGAGAACCCTAATAACAATCACTTTGTACCCAATACTGAGAATTGACTTCCTAGTCTGTTCTCATCCAGGTCATGCCCAGTAGTGCTGTCCAATATCTTCTATCAAGAGGTTTCGCACGTGAGATCAAATGGCATTATAAAATTACTCTACTAATAAAAAGCTAATGACACAGTCATGCCCCAAGTTTGAATATAAACCCTTTTCTACTTTCAAATGCCAAAGAGGAAATGAAGGTGCAAATATTAATTTTTCTTGCAAGAGCAAAGGAAAGTCCAAAATAACATTTTCTTGTGTTTGTGAATTAAAAGATCAAAGACACGTTCCTACCTCCCTTCCCTTCCCATTCCCCTGCGTCACAGCCAAGCGCCCAGTGGTGCAGTGTGGTCAGGAGATGGGCTGCAGAAAGGCAGGATGAACAAATGTGCAGTGCACTGCGCATAATGAGAGTGTTTTCTTACTGCCGTAGAAGGGGCTGTATTATGGAAAGGAGACAGGCCATGATAAACACTGTGGTGTTAGGTTGGAATTGGAGGTATTGATATGACCTTATCATCGTTAGAGACAGCTACTGTATTAATCAGAGTTCTCCAGAGAAACAGAGCCAATGGTGGGGGCAGAGAGAGAGAGAGAGAGAGAGAGAGAGAGAAAGGGAGGGGAGGGGATGGGAGATATTTTAAATTGGCTTATGCAATTGTGGGTGGTGGCAAGTCCAAAATTTGCAGTGCAGGCCAGCAGCTGGGACCCAGGAAAGAGGTGATGTTACAGCCTCAGTCTGAAGGCCATCTGTTGGCAGAATTTCTTCTTCCTTGGGGGTTCTCAGTCTTTTTCTCCAAAGGCCTTCAATTGATCGGGTGAGACCCACCCACATAGTGGAGGTACGAGGGTCATCTGCGTTACTCAAAGTCTACAATTTAAATGTTAATCTCATCTGAAAAATACCAGCAGCGTCTAGACTGACATTGGGCCAAATATCTGGCCACCATGCCTAGCTAAGTTGACACGGAAAATTAATCATCACAGATATAGGTAGAGATGTGTGAATATATAGGTGTGTGTGTATGTATGTGCCTACATATGTTTATATATTTTCTAATTCTGTCTGTGGAGAGGGCACGGAGGCGATGACCCCCTATGGCAATGAGCACACCTAGCATTGAGTTCTTAGTTTTTAAATGCCATCTACACTCAGAGAAACCAGGGCTTTTTTGGAGAAATGGACAACTCCAGGGCTGTGGCAGGGAAAATGGAAGAAGAACCTGTAATATTTTGTTGTAACAGAAGCAAGGAAATGCTTAAAAAATGATGAGGACATGTCAGAAGGACACGCAAGTCAGCTTATAGGGGAGTCCTTCCCTGGGCAATTTGGAAAAATCCATGCATCAAAAGAAATAATGATAATTATGAATTGTAACGATTTTAGTAGGAATCCCTGAGTTCACACTGTTATAAGTGAATAAATGAATGAATAAATAAATATAAGAGAAGGGAAAGGTTTATCTTATAGAAGTACTAAAATATCACCCTGCAAAATACATATCAATACTTTGTAAATATATATTAATTAAGGATACATATTAATACTTGAGTGTAAATATGTATTAATGAATAATATGTATTAATTAATAAGTATAAGTACTTATTAATTAACTTTACAGTGGAGAAACCTGATACTGACACCATCTTAATGAAATGCTAATATTACCACCAGTAATAAGACAAATCAACAAATCTGGTGCCTTCTGATAGGATAGCACCGAGAAAACTACAGAATCACTTTTTGGCAATAATATTGATATGTAATTTCTATACCAAACATCATAGTAGTTTCACAAGCATTAATATAACAATAAATATGTGCAGGGCACTATTCTAAGCACTTTACAGGTATTTAACTCATTTATTCCTTGTATTATTGTTATTCACATTTGATAGACATAGACACCAAAACACAGACAGGTTAAGCAGCTTGCCCAACGTCACACAGCTATCAAATGGCAGAGGTATTAATAACATTCAAACCGAGGTATTTGGGCTTCAGAGTCCATGCTCTTGGGTTGGCTTTTGAAGTAAGCAGTTGATGTGCTTCCCACCCAACACTGCCACGGTTAAATCTAAATGCTCACAGAATAATATTTCCGTGGTTTAAATATTGCATACCAGCTGAACCTTAATGAGAGAGATGCTACCAAATGTGGAAATTTTATTTTAGAAAGTTAATGAGACAATTGAAATTCCAAAAGCATCCTCCTTGAACAGCAGGAGCTACGTAGACAGTGCTGCTGAGCCCGGGGCTGGAATCTCAAACTCTGGTATTTGATGGGGTGACTTGGGCAGCCTGGTGGGACCGTGTCACACTCAGGGCCTAAGACCTGGGTGCCAGTTGCCCCGTCAACTTGAATTGTCAGAAGGAAACTCCATGAAGGAGAGGGGGTTGCATGAGTAGGTTGGGATTTAAACTAGACATGCAGTACGTTTTTTAGGAAACCACCCTAGGATAGGATGTTAAAATGGGAATCTGAGCTCTCTGTGTCATCTGGAGCCCGAAAGGTAGACAGCAAAATGCTGTTGAAAAGTGAGGTGCTAGCAGAGCATTCTATGCAGAATGTTCTGGAATTTTGTGGAACAGCTTAACTGGCTAGTATAATATTAGCCCATCGCCCACCCCGAGGAAATGCAAGAGATGTCTTAAATTTGGGAGTGGATGAACCTGATCAGGGGGGCTATTTTGGAAAGAACAGTCAGTATCTCTAAACAGGAGAGAGGAAGGGAGTATTTCTCCCTCAGGTCAAGCAAGAGTGGAGTCGTGAACCACTTGGAGAGCTTGACAGGTGTCCCTGGGTCTGAGGAACGTGAGGATGGGACTTGCCAGAAAAAAATCTGAGGATGAAAGGAGAGGCCTGCTGACAAGGCCCACCTGGAGAGGGGACAGGACCCCCCACAGAAGGGCAGATGCTGGGCCAGAGGCCAGAGAGGCACTGCCCCCGTGGAGGGCTCTGCCAGGAACCAAAGCAGCAGGTCACTGCCTGTCAGTTGACACTTGTGTCTGTCACTTAGTTTTTCTCCCTCTCCCCTGCACCTGACCCTTGGAGGATCTCAAATTGTAGGAATGAAAGGAAGTTGAGTGGGCTGGAGATGGGTCATAGGGCTGCTTCAGGATCTGCCATCAGACTGAGGTCAGCAGGCCTGTCCCCAGAGGCGTGGACGGGCATGTGTCCTGGTGGGTCTCTGGGTGGGCAGGGCTGCTCCTGGACTGAGGCTGGGCAGGGATGGAGCTGGGTTGCAGGGCCACCTGCAGTCGGATTGAGGTCAGTGGGCCTGCCTATGAGGGCATGGACCGGCATACCTTTGGGCAGGCCCCTGAGTGGGCAAAACGGCACTCAGACCACAGTCGAGAGGGCCTGAGGCCAAGTGACACGGCCATTGCAAGATCTGCTGTGGAACTGAGGTCACCAAGCCTTGCTCCAAGGGCGTGGATGGGCATGACTGCCGGTGGATTCCTGAGCAGGCAGGACTGCTCTCAGACTGCAGCTGAGGGGGCCTCGGCTGGGTTACAGGGCCACTTCAGGGTCCACAGGTGTCACCAGAAGCACAAGTGAATGCGACTCCTCCTGGGTTTCTTGGTGGATTGTTCTAGTGATAGGATCAAGGCCAGAGAGGGTTGTAGCCAAGTTCACAGAAGAATGAGGCCATTTCTGGGTCTGTAAGTGGGACCACAGTGAGTGAGCCCGCCCTTCCAAACGGTCTTGGGCTCCACCAAGGTTTTGCAATGTCCTGCCTGGGTCCCAAAGCTCCCACAAAGGCACTCTTGTTCATAGATGGCAGCCAAATTCTTGTTCCCGTGGAGGAATATACATGAGGCCCCTCGTCCACCATCTGGCTCTCTACTATTATTATTTGTGTGGCTGATACAATTAGAGTAATATAATATGCTGTGTGTTTTATAGCATGATATTGTGCTGTTTCACACGATACCTTAGCGTGTATTTCAGTATAAAGCTGTTTGCTAAAGTCGTGTTCAGCCTACAAAAATAACCAACTTCATAAAGCAGCAGCTTAAATAAAACACAAAATGGTCCATGGTGGTGCCAGCTTAGCGTCTAATTTTAAATGCTGCTTCTCCTCCCCACCCTCAGCAATTCTTTGAGGTCGAAGAAGAGGAGATTTCTTTGCAAGATGCAAACACTGTCAAAATGAACATTTTGTCAAGAAAACTGAAAGAAAAAGAAGACATTATTAAGGAATTAGAAGAAGAACTAGACCAATATGAAGAATACGGATTTCCAAAACTTGTAAGTTTTTTGTTATTTCAGAATATTATGGCGGTACAGACGTTTTGGTTACATGAATTACTTTTGAACAGTTTGAGTCAAAGTTGTGTGTCCATCACCCCGAGAGTGTGCATTGTACCTATTAGGTGTGAATTTACCCATCCTCTCCTCCCCCCTCCAAAATTCGTAAGTTTTAAGGCAAAGTATAATTAATTTTAATATGTGTAAATAGAGTCAGAAGTAGCTAAAAGCTTGGATTAAGAATAAATGAAACCCAACTGATGTGTCTTGGGCACCTCTCTGTGATATAAGCCAGTCCAACACTTTTCTGCTCAGTGGCCTTTTCTGGAAAACCTATAATAATATGAATAGGAGTGATGTGACTGTTCTCAGCTTTTATTTATAATGGAAATCAAATAACCAGCCTCCCACTGCAAAACATTTCCTACTCTGGAAGAGGTCGTCAATGAGTTTTTGTTGTAATGCTGAAAACTCCCATCCTTTCTTCGGTCAAGGTAGTTTGAAAGACACAAAGCTCATCTTTCTAAGTCGTAGCTTTCAGGAAGCCAACTTGGAACAGAATGACCTTTGAGTAAAAATGTCAAGAAGGAAAATCTCAGTGTTTTCCTCCTTGGTTCTCCCAGTTGCAGTGGGAGCCGGGAGCTGCTGTACTGCTCAGACCAAAGCATGGACAGGAGCAAGAAGGCAGAAAGGAGAGCCTAAGCTCCTGCCAAGGAGGAGAATTTTAAGGGCTCTGGAAAACGTGGATCCCGAGAGTGAATTCATTGCCATCTCTCATGTCAGCTCTGAGCCACCAACTGTCTCAGGACCAATCACGGTCCAGAGCCAGAGAGGGTTTCATTATTAGGTTCTAAGAGCAGGAAGCTAATCATTTGATTAGGAAAGGCTAACAGAGATGCCAGAACCCGGAAGGAATACAAATCTATTGAATACCAACTAACAGCTACCAGATGCTTCACCAGTGGTATCTCTTCTCGTTCACACGGCTCACCTCACCTGTAGGCGAGGAAGCAGAAACAGGGTGGTTAAGTAACTTCCCCACAGACACACAGCTAGTAAATGGGAAAGATGGCGTGTGAACCAAGGTCCACCTGAATCCAAAGCCCACATATGGAGTGGGGCTTTATGCTCTGTAGCGAGAATTAAAGGTTGTAATGAATCTATGTATGTGAATACATAAAATGTATAGATTGTTATAGTGTATAGATTATGTTATTATGTTTTGTTATAATGTATTAATATTTTAAAACATATAAATATACACACATAGGAATACCAACATGTGCATACATAGGCTCAGGAAAATCTGGGAAGTTATACATGAAAATGTCAACACTGGGAAGAAACACTTGTGAGTTGCTGGTCCCTTTAAGTACAATCTATGATTTGTGTAAATCCCACACTAGTATTCTTATTTAAAACGTCAAGGTTATGAGAGATAATGGATTAAACATAAACCATTCCAAAGGACCTTGTTTACTAATTGGTAAAGCAGTGTTTACTTTGTTAATCTATTAGAATTCTTTATGTTCTAGAAAAAAAAAAACTGAGCACCTTCTAAGCAATGTAATATTGTGTCTTCAGCATAGATCTAATAAAAGTGAATATTAATTCTTTTCATGTGGTTTGATTGTCTTGGAGTAAGAGGCATATCCAATTTTTGCATTTACTTTTTAAAAACTTTCTACATTTACTTTCATTTTTTGGAGAAAATAACTTAATAGAGAAGACTAAAAACCATAATAATTAGCCTTTAATCCTGCCTTGGCCAAAGATACTCCAGTGGAGATGTGCCGAGGCATTTTTGATCCATTCGTTTCCCGTTTGTGAATCGCAGAGTGATACATGCCTAGCTAAGGTAGAGTTATGACAAGGATACTTGCTGTGTGGAATGTGAATTGCTTTGAGTTCTTTGAAGAAAGATTGGTGTATATGTTCTAGTTTTATGAGGCAATGTGCAAGTCCCGATAACCATGTGGTTATGTTCCATAAAATCTACCAGACAGACATCTGGACTGTTGAGGATACCCCAATTTGGTAAGAGAATTCCCTCCACTCTGAAATGTTTATGCCTCTAAGTGTTTTTCTGAACTGGTAACTGGTCCGTCTGGACATTCTGGGGAAGGAATGAAGACGGGCTGTGTGTCTTTGGGAGGAGGCCAGCAAGGGGGAGGCTGCACCCGGCTCATGGGGAGGCAGGCTGTTCTCTGGCTGGCGATGGCATCCACGATACCCTAGTTATTCCACTGTAATTTGCCCCCAACGAGACCACATTAGGACACCACGATTTATGGAAGGAGAGGTCATTCTGATAAACAGGGGATAAGGTTCCTTCCAGGGACCCCAACGAAACACAGGGCTCTGGTCTCCCCTCCTGGTTGAAGGTGATGAAAAAGCACACTAGGGTACATTTCAAGAACACAAACACACATGCCACAGAGCAGATCATGGGTTCTATCAAATAAACTTATAGAAAATACTTCTTTGGTCTTTTTTATTACTGTTAGTTATTATGGGTACATAAGAGTTATATGTCTTTACTCCATGCTGCTTACATTCTAGATGATCTGTTTAATTTGAAATTTCATCTTATACAACTGCCCCCTCTAGTGGTATAAAAACCCCCTTGAGAGGCCAAGTATCGGGAATTAGATTGGAAAGACAGAATTTGGAGAAACAATTAAAAATGTCAAAGTGTCAATGGAAATAACTTGAAGGAACCTGAAATAAACAAGCTTTATTTAGTTTGTCTAAAGTTATCTAGATCATTCTCACTGGTAATCAAATTACATAAATAGTTTTATAGTTAATAAGTACTCATGGTCTCCTGCTCTGAGAAAAAAGTGATAAGAATGTAATAGGAAAAGAAAAGTTTAATAAACAGTTAGTTTAAATTATATTTATGACAGAAGCATCATGCACATGCAGGAGGATCCTCCATGTTGCATTTTCCCAGGAGCAACTAACGTCATTCAAGGGATAAGATTTTCAGGTTTTATTCTGTGGGAAACCAACGTGACTCAGCTGCATGCCATTGTAGTTACCAGCTCTCCCTGCTGTCCGTTGACTCATCCCCTTGAGAATTTATAAAGGCAGTTAGCCCGTCAGAGTGTGTGTGTGTGTGTGTGTGTGTTTGCGCGTGTTTTAATTTCATTTGCAGTTGGCGTTTTGAATAGACTTTTCATTTTTCTTTCTTACCCCAACACGAATGCACCACGCAGCCATCACCCACCCACCCTCCATTGGAGAGCAGATCTGCTTGTTGCCACCAGCTCTGAAACAGAGCTGTCATTCAAGAGTGGCAGCTCTGCAGGGCTGCGCTGCCCCGGTGTGCCACTTTCCTGGTTGTCACTCATTGGGAAAGCACCTGCTCTTCTCCGTGACTGTCTCAAGTCATGGGCATGCATCAGAACCCCAGCCCTCCCCCAGCACCAAATTGAGATGTCCAAGTACCATGCATGGAGCCTGCAGAATGAGACACCAATATTGCATGCGGGACATGGCTGAGACAGCACAGAAACTGCTCTGAACCAGGACTTCTCGGATTTTACTCCTCGTACGAATCACCAGCAGATCTTAAGAGAAGATTCTGACATAGTAAGTCTAGGCTGGGGCCTGAGAAGTCTACATTTCCAGTAAGGTCCCAGGTGCTACTGAGGTTCCTGGTCCACAGACCACACTTTGAAGAACAAGGCTCTCGGTAACACCTGTTTTCAGCAATGATTCTTTCAAGATTTAATTTGGGATTCTGAAACCTGGGGACAGTAATGTCGCATGTCTTATGAATATGCACAATAGCACCTATGCCACCACCTGAAGTCGTAGTTTTCGTAATATGATAGGAAAACTTCGAGCTTGCCAAGTTCCCTTGTAAAGTTTCACCATGATCATGGATCACACACAATCTCTCTTAGAGCATAATGTGGCTTTAAATAGCTACACCCAGTTAACCGCCTTTCAATGATCTCCATCCTTCTTAACCTCGTTTTATTAATGCAATTTATTTCAGAGAAGTCTTGCGGTTTAAACAAGCCAAAACTAGCAGTGTGGGCAGATGGCAGAAGGAACACCACCACAAAACCTGCCACTCAGAGTGTAACAGAGGACCGTAGCAGCCCAGAACCACCCCTTTGTTCATTTTGCTAATGAGTGTCCTCATTGCTGTGGCGTCTGAATAGTTAATTACTTGCAGTTCCCGCAGCTGACAGATGGTGGGGACAGAGCTAAAGGTTAACCTCACGAGAACAGGGGCTGGGGATTGATATGTGTAGGAAAAACCTCAAATTTAATGTGTTTTCCTTGCGTCCTGCTTTCATACAAAGAGATTCTTAGAAAACGTATTTAGGTATTAGCTACTACCACTTGTAAATTTTACACTTCATCTGATTAATTCCAATAGTTCTACTTTAGTTTATGATAATGGGACTTATCGAATCTTCTGTGGATGTTCATATTCTGCCACCGTAAGGAAATGTGTGCTTAAGCCTATTAAGGCCAGTATTGTTTGTTTGTTCATTTGTTTTTAAAAAATCCTTTTAGTCTATAAATGCATTCTGTGATCATCTCAAATTAAACAATGTGGGACAAGAAATTAATGACTGGGATTCTTCCTTTATGAAGGAAACTGTTGTTTATTAACTACTTACTACATTTGTTAGTTCTCATTAGTTAAGAATGAATTGGGCTCAAGTAATTTAAATGAAATGCTCAATCAAAAGCATGAAGATTTGTAATTGAATTTAGTGCAAAATTTAACATCACATTTTAAATATTGTTAACTCTGATGTATATAAATATACCACATATAATTTCATTCACTTATTTCTTAAGTTTATTAACATACTATAAAACATTCCAACCACTTACTTTTCTTTCGAAACATTGTGATCATGGGGAAAACATTTTAATAATTTACTTCCTCATCTCCCTAAAGTTAAATAAAAGTATAGTTCCAAAAGGAAAACACTATATTGAGAAATATGATTTTGTTTTTGAGGGCAGATTTTATTCTTACATACTTGCAATCACGGAATTACTGCAAAAAGAATAAGTTATAGTTCACCTGAAGATTACTTTAAAGTTCAAAAGCATTTTTAGTGTCTATAGTAATTTCAAAGCAAGGCATGTAGAATCTTCTATCTTTGGCATAATAATATAATGACTCTTTAATGTGTTAAGACTGAATAATCAGTTTAATATTTTACCACGATGATGTCTAAAGTTCTGCACCAGCTTCCTCAACTTATTACATTTTAATTTTTTTTTAAAAAAAATGTGAAGCAGTAAAATCTAGACAACCATAAGGGAGTATATTCAGATGTTTTTCAATAGCTTGGAAACAGACAAGAAGAAGAAGAGGAAAAAAAGAGTAGCTGTCCCAATAAGCTTCTATTGCGTACGAAAAAGCCTCTCCCATAATGGACATGGCACGATTTAAACAAAAGACGCACATAATAAAAATGTAAATGAGTTTGCTTTACTAAAACTATAACTTTAAAGTCTTTTGTTGTGAGTTATCCTGAAACCTTCTTACAAGGTAATCACTGTTTGCATAGAGATTTAAACCGAAGTCTTCAATAGCATTAAACGCCTGCACAGTGCCCGGGTGACAGGCATGCAAAGCCATGTTAATGTTCAGAATATGAATTGCCTCTGGGTGGCTCCTCCGCCCGGCAGAAAACCAACTGTGGGGATATCCGTGTGCCTGATGGACTCCATGCGGCTCCCAGCCTGAAAACGTCACCACTTTGACATGTGATGTGCTCCTCCTGACACTGGCAGAGCTGACGCTGGGAAATGCCACAAAGGCAACAAGGCCCCCTCCTTAGCCATGCACTTTGCCACCCCCTGGCGCTGCCCGTCCTGAGCTCCCCCAGCCTGCCTAGTTACAGGCGGACAGCGCTTCAGACACACACAGAGGGACGTGTGGGTGGAGGGGCCCCAGCTGCCTCCCCGGACTCAGCCTCCGTAATGAATTGAACTGCATGATGAGGGCACACAAACAATATGATATGCATTATTCCTGTCAATAAAGTGTCCCCATGTGTTGGGGTCTTTGTACAGAATGTACTGTAGCCTTTCTTCCAGTAAGCTCTATGTAGTCTCCTTCCTTTTTGCTATTCATATTATAAGTGTGTAATAGAATTCAGAAAATTATATGATAGCTCTTCTGTATCTGCATTGTCCTTGCGTCGCATATTTAAACGCCTGGCTCCCTGCTCAGGAATATGCAATTCCCCATCTTTCAGGGCTCTTTGGCCAAAGACACCAGCTCTACAAAGTCAGCCCTACAAAAGGAAAATTTGGAGTACAAAGTGAAAAACGAGAGACTGCTTCAAATCGTTTCAGAGCTGGAGGAGGAAGTCGGATTCAATATAAAAGAAAATTCAGCATTAGGTAACATTTTGGAATCACTCGTGAGAAAAATCTGGACATTGAGCACTTCATAAAATTCATAACTATGTTTGGCTTTGCCAAGCATACGTTTGTTTGGTTGTCTACGTTTAAAACATCAATTTGGTAGCCATTTTTGCTTTTCATTTAAGATAGCATTCCCTGCTTAGGACAGAGGATATAATTATAGTTGTACTCCTAAACCAGGTCATGCTAACTCGGGGTGTTTTTTTCAAGCCAAACGTTGGCCTTTGCAAAAATGTGCTAATCAGTACTCGACTTCACTTAGAAATATTATAAACAGATACAAACTTTTACTGATTTGTTTTATATGTTTAACTGATCATCTAAACTTTGGTAACATTTAAATACTTAAGAACACATATTGGAATATGCTTTGTAGAGAAACAGAGTTAGCCCTGCAGAAAAAAATATGCTACCATGTACTGATTATCTTCAATTTTGGATGCAAAATTTAAATACAAAATTTCATTTGTATACTTTATACCTCTTTTCTTTCATACCAAAAACATTGGTGGAAGTTGCATTTACATCACCCAACTTATGGCCCTTTAAAGTATTGTTTCACTTTGTTATCTTTGGATTTATGTTAATTATGTAATGTTCTTAATCTGCAGTATAAAAAGCAATGAGGAAGCAATAAAAAATGTATAGCAAAACATCCCTAAAATGAGATATATTACAGTATCCCTTGAATATAAAATTGTACCATGCCAGTATGGTTCCATTCTCTTCTGATGTGGTGGGGGAAGGCTTTTGCAGGTTTTGGTAGTTCTTATTGAGTCATAAAGTGCCACCTGCTAAAGCCCTTTATATTGGCTGTGACTAACAGCAAAATGTCCTTTGCTAGTATTGATGAAAAGCTTCTAGCCCTCAGCCACACTTGGATCTTGAACTTACTTCTTCATCCCTATCTGACCAGCCGTCTGAACAGCAGGAAGAAGGCTGTGAATGTCAAGGGCAGTTGTGAAGGTCACAGTCCTGCTAGGACTTGCGTCCACCATGCCTGCCAGTGGCTCACAGTGTGCCCTGAAGCAGGCCGTCTGAATACAGGGGCCATAAGCTTGTAATTTCATGCTTGGCCTCTCTTTCCTTTTGTTTACAGAAGATGAAGTTATAAGTCTGAAAGAGAAGGCCGAAAAGGATCAGAGAACTATTCAAAAGGTACTGTAACATTTTTACATTGATAAATGACTCTTTTAAATGGAACTACCAGCATAATCGGCCAACTAACACTGTGTCCAGAGTGTCTTATGATGCAGAGGAAAGTTGATATATATATTTAATCTCTGCCCACTATTTGGGTAGAGTGACTAGTAATGAATAGGGAATTGGTCTTGAAAACGCATTGATGTCTAGATACTTCTTTTATTCGGGACAACTGAACATCTACCTAGTTGATTATAAGGAACCAAAAAAAATTATAAGATGCTTGGAAGTCCGAGGATGTGCTTGCTATTATAGAAAAAGTTGTATGATGAAGAATGAGCAGTTTTATGTTTGGATCAGATGTTGGTTGATGTTCATTTTTCTATACGTGAATGAACTGGGTTTGTGTTATCTGGTAAATCTTAATATAGAGCGGGGAATTCTTCTGGTATCATGGAAATCAAGATTTCCTAATGCACCTAAGACTGCAGGATCGTAGCAGTTCTTGCCCTCCCGTGCAGGGGAGGTACCTCTGCTTGGTTCTTGCTGAGCCCTGTACTTCCCTGCTGCATCCCCCAAACGCTCGCTGCTGTGGTCGGTCGTGCCTGCCCTACCGTAAGCTCCACGAGGGCAGAGCCTGCACAATCTCAGTCTCTGGTGTATTCCTGGGGCTGAGCACCGTGCCCGACACACTGAAATATACTCTTTGAGTGATGAACAGAATGAGAATGTATTTAGAGCTCATAAAATTGACAGATGAAAAAGCAGATTCACATCCCCAAAGTATTCCTAATAAACCTAAATGTTTCCCAGCAACTGAACTGAGTATCCATTTTGGGGTTAAAATTGATTAAAATGAGACAAAACGAAAAATTCTGTTCCTTAGTCCTGCTGGGCACATTTCGAGAGCTCAGTCAACCCACGCGTGGCCAGGTTTGGTTTTCAGATTTCAGCCAGGTCCGATTTTGTAGTTCGGGATATTCTTAGGTTTTAGAGAAAATTACTTCCAAGAAGTATTTTTTTAATGGGGTCAGAGTCGGGAGATACTTTCTTTGATAACTGAATCCCTCAAAGGTTTTCACAGGGAGGTTTCATGTTCTCAATGCTGCACCTCATTTGCGACGGTGACGATGTCCATCCCATTTAACCTTCTTGGCATCAACCTCTAAGGTTAAGAAGGCAATCTCGGCTTTCTAGTTTCACTTAATAGCCATTACCAGTTTATTTATTTACAATGTTTCTCAAGCTGGTCACTCTCTACTACTCCTGGTAGAAATGAACTGCATGAGCTTTCTACTATCTAGGAAGAGCACAATAACGAATTAAGGCAAAAAAAAAATCTCACTGTTAAGCCCCCAATTGGAAAGAAACATGCCCCCTGAGTGGCTGCTTATACCCTGTGTGAGTTTAAACACGTCAATTAAGTGCTGCCTCCACTTTCTAGATCTGCGCTGCCCAGAGGTAGCCACTGGCCACATGTGGCTATTAGACACTTGAAATTTGGCCAGTACAACTGAGGAACTGAATTTTTAACTGCCCTGAATGGAAAATAAGTTGAAAACGGGCCCAAATCCGGGTAGGCTGACCTCTTGCTATGTATCTGGGCTAAGCACTCTCACTAACGGAATTCAGTAGCGCTTGTGTTTTAATTCCAATCATGGAATAACAGCTGTATCAGTGCCTGTCTTCCAGCTGCTGCCACCACGCAATCCATTCTCATGAATTTCATTCTGGTGGGGACACAGACGGGGACTCAGAGATGGCAGCCGCAGATGTGATTGGGGCAGGACGCAGGGAGGCAGCTTGCTATGGGGGTGCACAGAGGCCACCCAGCCTGGATGGTTAGGGATCAGGGAAGGCCGGAGGAAGGAAGGGCTTAGAGTTGGCCAGGAAAGGGTATCCTAAGAACCACGCGAAAGGGGTGGCAGAGGA